AAAACCCTGGTAGCTGCTCTCGCTGCTCTCCTCTCATTCTCCTCATCTCTACTCCTTTCCTTAAAACATCTCCTTCGCCATAGGCAATATTCCACCCTCTATTCCTCTATCTTTGCCTCTAGTCTGCGTCGTAAAAAACCTAAAACCTCAACTGTCACCTGATCTGAAACCTAAACATCTAATTTTTTTCTGCAATACAGCCTGGCGCCAATACAAATTAGACAATGGTTTCCAACAGCCAAAAAAAAAAAAAGGCACTTTCAACTTTTCTATTCTGCAGGACCTAAACAATTTTTGTCAACAAATGGGCAAATGGTCTGAAGTGCCATACATCCAGGCATTTTTTACACTAATCACTCCCTAATCTCTGCTCTCAATGCGACACATCCCAAATTTCTTTCTCTTCCTTCTGCTCACCCATCCTCCTGCCTCTGCCAGTGACTCAGACTCCTCCTTGTCCATCAACCCCTCCAACCTCTCTTTTCCCCACCTGTCTGAACCAGACCCCAGTCCAGGCCCTAACCCCCACCCAGAGCCTCCCTCCTCTTCCTTTGCCCACAGTCCACCTCCTCATGCCCCTCCTGTCACCTCCCCACTCATACCCAGTCCAGCTTACAGTTTAGTCCCACAGCTACCTCCCCGGCTCCTGTCCAACAATTTTTTTCTTCGAGAAGTGGCTGGAGCTGAAGGAATAGTCTGGGTACTCCTTCCTTTTTCTCCATCTAACCTGTCCCAAATCAGTCAGCTTCTAGGCTCTTTCCTGTCAGATCTGATAAAAAATATACAAGACTTTCAATACTTAACCCAGTCTTATAATCTCACTTGGAGTAATTTAAATGCCATCCTTACTTCTATTCTCACCCCTAAAGAACACTTAATATGCATTTTATCATCCAATCAGCCCCTGACAGTACAAAAAATCTACAGAAATTAGAATCTGGCCCTCAAACCCCACAACAGGAGTTAATTAACCTCGCTTTCCAGGTGTTCAATAATAGGGAAGAAGCCGCCCAGTGGCAGCACACCTCAGAACTGCAGATGCTTGCCTCTGCCATAAGACCCCAGCCACACCACCAGCTCACAAAGACTTCAAAGCGCCCAGAACACAGCGTTCAGCCACCCCTCCCTGTTCATACCTAAGCTTGTTAACAAAAGTGAATGTTTACTCACAGATACCAAATACTTTCTCATACACCATGAAAACAAGACCCCTCCCTCCACACGATTACCCTGTCAAATCCCACTACAACCTTTAATAGCTGCAGCCCTTGCTGGTTCCCTAGGCATCTGAGTACAAGAACTCAGCCCCTCCCCCGCATATCACTTTCTTATGTCTTCAGTCTACACTTCCAGTTCTGCCTCAGCCAAGGATTTTTTTTTCCTCTGTGGCTCTTCCACCCACCTCTGCCTTCCTACCAACTGGACAGGCACCTGTACCTTAATTTTCCTTACTCCCCAAATCCATTTTGCCAATGGAAATGAACACCTCCCTTTCCCCCTTGTAATTCTTACATGACAAAAAAGAGTCATTCCATCAATCCCCTTGCTTGTAGGATTAGGAGTCCCCACTGCTGCAGTTAAGACAGGTATAGCAGGCCTTACTACTTCCATCAGTACATTCCGCCGTCTCTCTAATGACTCTTCCGCCAGCATTTCAGACATAACTCAAACACTATCTGTTCTCCAACCTCAAGTTAATTCCCTGGCTGCAGTTGTCCTCCAAAATCGCCAAGGCCTCGATCTATTGACTGCTGAGAAAGAAGAACTCTTCCTCAATGAAGAATGCTTTTATCTAAACCAATCCTGTATATATAATATATAATCCTTGTATATAATGCCATCAAAAGACTTAATGACAGGGCCCAAAACCTTGCTAAACAGGCAAATAATTATTCTGGATCTAGCTGGCCACTCTCCAACTGGGTACCATGGCTCTTTTCATTAGCAGCACCCTTAATATCTATCCTTCTCCTTCTTTTGTTTGAATCTTGTCTTTTCCAACTAATTTCTCAACTCCTATGTAGGAAACAACAATAAAAAAAAGGTTCCTCTTCAAAGCTTTCCTTTTAGTGCACTATGAATAAATAACAGTTTCTTCAAAGGTTAATTTACTTTAAAGCTTTTGATAATAATCTTAAAGTAGCCGTTTGTCATAACAAAGAAATAGATGCACCCATGTTCTTAGTTCTTACAGTTTAACCTGGATATTTGCCCAGGCAAGTCTTAGGTGAGATCTTATTCCCCTTCCTTATGTGGAAATGTTATCTCTTCTCTAAGCATTCTTCATGTTACTACCTCTTCTCCTTTGTTCTCCTTTGCCTTTACTTCTTTGGAAGATTTCCAGGTTTTCAGCCAAACAGGTCCCATTCTCGCCAATGGAAACTGGACACAGCAGTAGAGCAATTGCAGTAGGTTATGAAAGTTATAAATGTCCCTGTCTCCTTTGATCAGGTGTGCTCTCATGGCGAGACTGCCAGCAAGTTGCACCCTTCCTGCGGGATGTAAACTAGCCTTGCTGAGTAATCCCACTGTCTCGGTGTGGATTTTTCCCGACGTTATAAACCCGTTTCCAACATCCTACAAAATCATATCCCAGCTATAACCAATCAGTCAAAATGGCAAATGCTCCTTCTCACAACCCCAGAATATCACCCCTTGCCCCCAAATCTTTTGGTGTCTAAAATCTCTCCCATTTTTAGTTTCCATGCCACCCCCAATCCTGCTCCAAGAAGCCCTGAGAAACGTCACCCATCATCCCTCTGTACAGCCCCCAAAATTTCACTGCTTCCCCCACTTTTTCTAGTTTTTGCTTTTCAACTTTTATATTATTAATATAAAAAGACAGGAATGCAAGTTTCTTTGAACTGACTATACCACAGTCAAGCCATGGTGACCCGTGACCCACACGTACACCTCCAGATGGCCTCCCAGAGCCAGAAAGTCTAAGGTACCAGGAAAACAACAAAAGGAGAATTGCTAGCTCCTGCAGTGCTTGATTAACCAACCTTGCAACATTCTACCATTGTTCCTGCCTCAACTGATAAGTCGACCTTGTGACACTGGACCCTGTGGCCTGACTAACTGACCTTGCGACATTACTGTTTCTGCCTCAATTGATAGGCCAAACTTGTGACACCAGACCCTGTGACACTTCTCCCATCCCCCAGCAAAATACTGCCCTGGACTGTAACTTTTCACTGCCTATCCCAGACCTATAAAACCAGCTCCTATTTGACCACCCTCTGCTGACTCTCTTTCTGAACTCAGCCCGCTCACACCCAAGTGAATAAACAGGTTTGTTGCTCACCTGTTTAGGTGATCTCTTCATTCAGAGAGTGCTAAACATGTTTCATTACATTTTGTAATATATTCAGCTATTTAAAAGCATATACTAACTTGAAAAGATGTCTGTGGCCTGCTGTTAAGGAAAAAAGCCAAGTTATATAGTAAGGAACTACCATTTTACTTTTGACTTTGTGTGTATGTTTGGTTTGTTTTTGTTGTAGTGGTAGTAAGTGGGGAGGGGCTTGCACATTTATACATGTACTTAAGTGTATAAGGACATAGGTAGGGGAGACCCCCTGATTAGTAATGTTGATTGCTTCAGAGAAGTGGAATGGAAAGGTGGGAAGACTAGGGAAAAAACTTTTCTTTGGAAAAAGTTAAAATGCCTAAAGAGATGTAAATATATACTTTCTCTTTAAAATCTTTATATAATTTAGCTCCCTTTTAAAATAAAAAATGGGCTTGGCATAGTGGCTCACACCTGTGATCCCAACACCGTGGAGGCTGAGGTGGGAGGATCACTTGGGTCCACAAGTTCATAACCAGCCTGGGCAATATAGTGAGACCCCCATCTCTACAAAAAAGAAAAAAAATTAGCTAGGCATGATAGTGAGCCTGGTTCCCAGCTACTAGGGGGGCTGAGGCAGGAGAACCCTTTAGCCCAGCCTAGGAATTCAAGAATGCAGTGAACTGTGATCACACCACTGCACCCCAGCCTGAGCAATGGAGTGAGTTCTCATCTCAAATAAATAAACAAGGCTAAACAAGGGCCCACTATCCGGAATACATACATAAAAAAACACAACTCATCAACAAAAAGAACAAAAAAAAACCAGCTAAAAAAATGAGTGAAGAACTTGAATACCCAGATATACAAATTGCTAACAAGCACATGAAAAGCTCCTCAAAACCATCAGTTGTCAGGGAAATGTTAATCAATACCACAATGAGATGCTACATCACACTCACTAGGAGGACTAAAAAGAAAAAATTTTTTTTAAAAGGAAAACAAATGTTGGTGAGGATATGGAGAAACTGGAACCCTCATTAAGCACCGAATTACCACATACTTCAGCAGATCTACTCTTAGGTATTATACCCAAAAGAACAGAATACGGACACTCAAACAAACGCAGGAACACACGTGTTCACAGCAGCATTCATTCATAACAGCCAAAAGGTAGAAACAATTGAAACGTCCATCAACTGATGAATGGTAAACCATTGTGATTTCAGCCATACAACGGAATATATTATTCAGCCATAAAAACAAATGAAGTACTGATACATGCTCCAAGGTGGATGAACCTCAAAAACATTATGCTAGGTGAAAGAAGTCAGACACAAAAGGTGGCATATTGTATGAGTCCATTTATGTGAAATAGCCAGAACAGGTAAATCCATAGAGACAGAAAGTGCACCGGTGGTTGCCAAGGCCTGGGAAGAAGGGGAGAATGGGCAGTAAGTACTTCATGGAGTTGGCTGTCCTTCGGCGTGATCGAAATATTTTGGAAATAGCAGAATGGTGCTTGCACAACATTGTACATTTACTGAACGCCACTGAATTGTTCACCTTAAAATGGTCAATATTACGTTATGTGAATTTCACTTTAATTACAAAAAGAAAGAGAAATGCCGGCGTTTACGCAGGCGAAGGCAGGCTGGGCTGGGGACCTCCTCTCCGCGGCCTTGTTATTTGCAGCGCTTCCGCTCCCCGCCCCTCCGCTCCCGGCGAATCTGGAGGGCGACGCTGTGGCGGAGCAACCACCACAGGGCTGTCAGAGAGAAGACGAGCCGGGAGGAAGATGGAGAGGCGGGTGGCAGCCTCACCTCCGGACTCAGCCGCCACACCAGGGTCGAGCCGCTCCGCACAACCTCAAGTCTGATTCGTAACTCCTCTGAGTACCTGAGGGTACTGGGCAGGCCAAGGGGTGGAACTGATGGGGCGGGGACGTGGCGGACGGGTGGGGCTGCTTCCGGGTTGAGCACGCCTCCACGCCAGACTGGACTGGAAGGAAAACGGAACCTCTCTGCCTAGCGTGCCTCTTTCCGGAAGCTACTTGAGTCTGGACGCCAATGTCGGCGACGCTGGGAAGCAGACTTCCGGCGCTCTATTTTCTCACCGGGTACGTGTGGCGAGGAAGCGGCGGCGGCGATGAGACAGAAACACTACCTTGAGGCTGCGGCGCGGGGACTGCACGACAGCTGCCCGGGTCAAGCCCGCTATCTCCTGTAAGAGGACGGGAGATGAAGCGGGAGGCGAGCGGGAAGGTGTTCCTTTTTCCCCTCACAAGTCTTTTTCTCTTTTACAGCTGGGCCTACACTTCGTCGCACGGTAAGAACGCCAATCCCTTGTGCCTTGGGCTCTTCTCACCCCGCTTTCCTCCATTCCGCACAACGCTTAAATAAGGCCGATGGACTCACTCCCCTCCTTAAAACGACAAAACCTACATCCTTCGACAAAATCCACATGCTTCTCAGTTTTGTGAAAAATCCAAATTCCTTAATGTGCCTTGTCTTGCTTTGTTAGCGGCACTTGACACGTTGATCAGTCTTCTCAAAATAGATTTCTCCTTTGGCTTCTAGGTCGTTACGTAGTTCACCTCCTCTTTACCTATTTATTACCTATCGATTTGCTTTGCTGGTTCCTCCTAATCTCCCCGAGCTTTAAGTTTTGCCGTGTTCCAGTACTCAGCCCTTGGACCTCTTTTCTAGGTACACTTACTTCCTGACAGTTTTTCATCTAGTCTCATGTCTTTTAAATACCATATATTGAGGACTTAACAAATGTATATACTCGGCGCAGATCTCTCTTCTGAATTTTAGACTCATACATCCAAATGTCTTCTTGACAAATTCTTTTCAATGTCTACTAATTTCAAACTTAGCTAATGTGTCCAAAACCTGAGCTTTACCCCCAACAAGATCCTCCAGTTTTTCTCACTTCAGTAAATAATTCCATCCTTCCCTTATAGTTATTGGACCCCCAAAACCTTGGAGCCATTACTGACTCCCTAACAACTCTCTCTCCTCCCAGCAAATCCTGTTGGCTTTAAAATATATCCAGAATTGGCCAGGAGCCGTGGCTGTCGCCTGTAATCTCAGCATTCTGGGAGGTTCACATGGGTGGATCGCTTGAGGCCAGGTGTTCAGGACCAGCCTGGCCAACATGGTGAAACCCTGTCTCTACTAAAAATACAAAAAAATTAGCTTGGTGTGGTGGTACACGCCTGTAATCCCAGCCACTCTGGAGGGTGAGGCATAAGAATCTCTTGAACCCGGGAGGCAGAGATTGCAGTGAGCGGAGATGGAGTGCACTCTACTCTTCACCACATCCATCTCTACCACCCTGCTCCAGGCCATCACCGGTCCTCTCCTGGATTACTACTAATAGCTCCCATGTGTTTCTAGTGTGTTCTCAAGCCAGCAGCCAGAGTGAATCTGATAAAAACCAAAGCTAGATCGTGTCACTTCTCGGCCAGAAACTCAAAAATTTGCTTCCCATCTCCCAGTAAAAGTTTAAGTCCTTTAAAAAGGATTGTAAGATTCTCAGCAAACTGACACAAGAACAGAAAATGAAACACCGCATATTCTCACTCATAGGTGGGTGATGAAAAATGAGAAGACATGGACACAGGGAGGGGAGTACTAAACACTGGGGTCTATTGGGGGGAAAGGGGGAGGGCCAGTGGGAGGGGGAGGTGGGGAGGGATAGCCTGGGGAGAAATGCCAAATGTGGGTGAAGGGGAGAAAGGAAGCAAAACACACTGCCATGTGTGTACCTATGCAACTGTCTTGCATGTTCTGCTCATGTACCCCAAAACCTAAAATGCAATAAAAAATTAAATTAAAAAAAAAAGGATTGTAAGGCCCGGTATCGTAGGCCCACGTACCTCTCTGACCTACTCTCTCTTTCTGTCACGCAACTTCAGTCACACTAGGCCTCCTTGCTGTTCTCTTTCAGGGCCTTTGCAAGCTACTCTTCACTCTGCTTGGGATTCTTGCCTCACATATCTGCTTCCACTGGAATCCTCCATTTCCCTCTTGTCTCTATGATATCACTCAATGAAGCTTTCCCTCGCCACCTGTTTAAAATTACAGTAACTCCATCAGCACTTCTATTCCCCTTTCCTGTCTTACTTTATTCCCAGCACTTAACATTTGATGTTGTTACATTTATTATATGCCTCGGTGAATTCTCCTTTTTTCACTGCTATGTCTTCAGCACTCAGAACAGTGCCTGGTGTTGTGACTTAGTAAATATGAATGAATTTCACATTTGGCAGAGCTAAGTTTAAGTGTGGTCCCTGGCTTTATAAGTTCAGTTATATCCCTGGCACTTAACATAGTGCTTAACAGTAGGTACTAAATAAATATTCATTGTGCTAATTGTTTAAAAACAGAAACAATCTCAGTGCAGTTTGTTATTTTGTGGTAAATGCATTGGTAAAATTGGTGATACATAACAGCCTTTTATTTATTTATTTATTTTGAGACGGAGTTTCGCTCTTGTTACCCAGGCTGGAGTGCAATGGTGTGATCTCGGCTCACCGCAACCTCTGCCTCCTGGGTTCAGGCAATTCTCCTGCCTCAGCCTCCCAAGTAGCTGGGATTACAGGCATGTGCCACCATGCCCAGCTAATTTTTTGTATTTTTAGTAGAGATAGGGTTTCACCATGTTGACCAGGATGGTCTCGAACTCTTGACCTTGTGATCCACCCTCCTTGGCCTCCCAAAGTGCTGGGATTACAGGCGTGAGCCACCGCGCCCAGCCCTCAATATACTTTTTATAATGTTGGCAGTTGGAGGTAATAAAATATTCTGATTTGCTGAATTGTGAGTTTCATCTCTATAATTTTAGATGATAAGAGCACTTTTGAAGAAACGTGTCCATACTGTTTCCAGTTGTTGCTTCTGGATAACTCTCGAGTGCGTCTCAAACCCAAAGCCAAGATGACACCCAAAATACAGAAACTTCTTAATCGAGAAGCGAGAAACTATACACTCAGTTTTAAAGAAGCAAAAATTGTCAAAAAGTTCAAAGACTCCAAAAGTGTATTGGTAAGATTTCAGTTCCAGTATCTATGAGTAAATCAGAATTTTCTTTCACTTAAAATCAGTTTAAGAATCAGCCTTGATATAACTCAGAGATTTATAGTAGTATATTTGGATTATGAAAACATAAACATTTCTCTAATGATTAGTGTTTCATTATAAGGACAGCTTATTTTTATTTTTCATGATTACCTAAACCAAACATCATGAGCTCTCAATTGTTTTGAGATCCCATTTTTGAGCATTATTTTTCACAAATGTGAGGATTTCTTGAGCTGACCATTATGACTCCACCTGAATTACAGTTACTTACCACTACATTATTTTTTCAGTTAATGGTTCTTTGCTTCAAACAGTAGTGTTATATATGTAGATGTCATGTCACTTCTTCAGCTGTCCTCCCACTCCATATCAGAGTGTGTATTTACAGCTATGCCCAATAAAGGTGAATGCATCTTTTGCTTTTTAAACATTTTACTGAGGGACTATCGTATACCAAGCAGTATTTAACATTGGGGATATAACATGGAATAAAACAACCAAAATCAGATTACATACGGTTTACTATATGGCAGATATATTTTATATCCTGCATATTCATTGTTAACGTTTATCAACCATTCAAGTGCCTGCTTATTGTCCAGCACTGTGCTGGGCACTGGACATTATGACAGCTTATGTCTGGCCTAAGAATATAATTAGTAATTACTTGATTGAAAATTGCCATATTTAGGAGTTTACCAGTGTTGGACAGGTAGGTGCATTTTGCTTTGTCATAAAATTAAATGGTTAAAGGGAAAGAGAAAAGAGATAGGATATTGAAGTGATATAGAATTCAGTTTCTTAGTTCTTGGAGAATTGTATTTTTCAAAAAATATTACTTCCACATGTTTGGAAAATGTTCTTAAATGGGAAGATAGTAAATGCTGCCTCACTGACTTGCAGTGTTTTGCCCTCATGAAACTTATATTCTAATGTATTTTAATCAGAAGTCAGCTAGAAAGGTGCTAAGTAAAGGCATTTGTTTTTCTGATCTATTTTAATCTGTATACAGCCTCCTTCCAAAAAGTGTAAAGCAACACAGACCTTTGACAGATACAGATCTTCCATTGGCATTTTTATCAGCTCATGAACATCAAACTACTTCTCACTTAAACTAGTTTATAATAATTTGCTGAGGCATGGCCTGAATCCTGTGCATAGTGAGTTAGATATGTAGAATTAGTTAGGAAATGGACCATTTATTGAGAAGTGAATCTTGAACAGAAAATCAACCTCTATAGCTAATGATGAGTGAAGAGGTATGAGAATATAACAACTCATTTGGTTGCATAGTTACATTAGGCCTATATTTTAGACCTATAAAATTGACAAGGATTTGAAGGGGCTACTTACATTTCCAGTGACATTCTGCTGTGTTTTTTTATGGTGGGAAGAGGCTCGAAGTTAATCTGCAAAAAAATACTAAATGCTTACTGCTCTTATAAAGACTATTTCTCCAGATGTTAAAGAGTATCATCTCCCATCTTTTCCCTAATTCCCCCAAACATGGTTTTATATTTAAAAATTAGAGAGGTCACTATATTTGAAAACCTATTTTAAATTAAATACAAATGTTTAGCCATTAATTTCTTTTTGAACATTTTCTCATTTTAAATTTGTCTTGTCAGCCAGGTGCAGTGGCTCCAGCCTATAATCCCAGCACTTTGGGAGTCAAGAGGGGTGGATTGCCTGAGGTCAGGAGTTCAAGACAAGCCTGGCTAACATGGCGAAACCCTGCCTATACTAAAATACCAAAATTAGCCAGCGCAGTTGCAGATGCCTGTAGTCCCAGTTACTGAGAAGGCTGAGGCAGGATTGTTTGAACCAAGGAGGCAAAGGTTGCAGTGAGTCAAGATCACACCACTGCACTCCAGCCTGGGCAACAGAACGAGACTGTCTTAAAAAAAAAAAAATCTTGTCCAGTTCTTGTCACTAGATTACAAGTTCTCCAAGTGCAGCCTCTATTTTAGTTACCCCTGTAGTATGTGGTATAATCTCTGACATTTAAGAATTCAGTGAACATGTGGTTTATGGGGTTACACTGTAAGATAAATGACAGGACTGACGTTTCTTCTTTTTATGGTAGTTGATCACTTGTAAAACATGCAACAGGACAGTGAAGCACCATGGTAAAAGCAGAAGCTTTCTAGCAACATTGAAGAGCAGTCCTACCACTCCTACAAGTAAACTCACCCTGAAAACACCAGAGAGAAGGACTGTAGACCCAAATCGTGATAAGTCTGGTTCCAAAGGCAAGAGTCCAGCATTGATTTTCAGGTATCTTAATCCATGAACTCTTTGAATTGCCAGTGTTAACTCAAGTGTTTTCTTCTAATTTTTTGTGTTTAATATATACTCCCTAAATATGCCATGCATTTCAGGACTTGGCCATGTTTCCTCCATACCCTTTTCTAATGTCACATACTCCCATATCTTCAATGCTCACGTCAATGGCATTTGACTTCTAGGTATATTACTCTACTTCTAACATCTCCTGGGCCTATTTCCAGCTGCCTGCTAAATATATCTGCTTCAGTCCCCCACATGTTCAAAACTTAGTTCATCATTTTCCCACAGCTAACCACTCAAACCTGCCTATCCTCCTGAGTTCCTTATTTTGTGAATGAACATACCTTTCTGGACATTTTGACCTAAAATGACAGGTATATTCAAAAATCCCTATTCACTTGGTCCTTGTCACTGATTTCTATATATTTTACTTCCATGCTGTTTTCATCTTTTTGCTCTTTTTTCTCCCTAATGCTGCTATATTCTAGTTTGGGTCCTTATGCACCATTTGTCAGGACTACTGCAATGATTTTCCTAATGGGTCTCCCTCTTTCCAGGATCAAACTCTTCTAGTGTGATCATCTTTCTGGAGCATAGCTCTGATTAGAAGTATCACTCTGTAGCATATGGATCAATGCTTTAGCATGGCTTTCCAGGCCTGTCTGGAACCAATCTGTCTGCCTGTCTTACTTTGCCTTAATTCTTTCTTTGTGCCAACAAAACTGAACCATTCACGGCCAGGTGCGATGGCTCACACCTGTAATGCTAGCATTTTGGGAGGCCGAGGCGGGCAGATTCCCTGAGCTTAGGAGTTCGAGACCAGCCAGTACAACATGGTAAAACCCCATCTCTATTCAAAAAATTAGCCAGGTGTGGCAGTGTGCGCCTGTAGTCCCAGCTACTTGGGAGGCCGAGGCAGGAGAATTGCTTGAGCCTGGGAGGCAAAGGTTGCAGCGAGCTGAGATGGCGCCACTGCACTTAGCCTGGGCGACGGAGCAAGACTCCATCTCCAGAAAAAACAAACGTGAACCATTCACAGTATACTTTCTTGCCCTACATGTTTGTTCTGGCTCTTAACTCTGTCAGAAATTCCTGAGGAAATCTAACTGAACAGGGATTTGTCAAATGATACTACACCAAGGATAGCCATTGCCTGTATATGTCCATAATACAAAAGAGTAGAAAATGATTGTCATTTGTTGGTATAACTAAGTGTGGTTTTGTTTCTTTTCAGAACACCTACATCTGGACAGTCAGTATCTACTTCCTCCTCAAAAAGTATGAGTAAAACAAAGAAACATTTCTCACAACTAAAAATGTTACTTAGTCAGAATGAATCCCAAAAGAATCCAAAGGTGGACTTCAGAAATTTCTTATCTTCTCTGAAGGGTGGACCTTGAAAATAAGAAATGCCTGATGGCAATTCTGAAACTATAGTAAAACAACTTTTTAAACTTTTATTTTTTGAATACATGGAAACTAGACCTGAATGCAAACTTTTCTTGGCATCCTTTGGGAAAATACCTCATTAGTATGAATACCTGAAACCTACCTACCGCATAGGATGGTTGTAAAGATCAAAAAATATATCAAAGTTCTTTGTAGATGTGTATGTATAGATATATATATATGTGTATGTATGTAAAGCTATATATGTACATTGAGTAGTGGCATTACTATTTTTTCTTCCTTTAGTTAGCAGTTTTTATATATGTTATTTTCTTTCAAAAGGGAATTGAGATCTTTATGAGAGGGTCTGTTCACTCATGAGGTTTCTGCCATGTGTCTATAGCATTGATAATTCAGGGAAAGGATTAAGTGGGTCCTTATTTTCTCACAATTATCTGCATAACTGTCTTAGTAAAACCTGAACCTTATTCCCATTTTGAATGCAAAAGTAAATATCTGGAACATTCCTGATTATAGATCACTCAATGGGAGACTAAAATTTTCTTTCTGTTTAGAAAAGGGAACATACTGTTGGTGATACTATAAATTAGTACAGCAACTTTGGAAAAAATAGTATGGAGGTTCCTCAAAAAACTAAAGGTAGAATTACCATATGATCCCACATCTGGGTATATATCTAAAGGAATTGAAATCAGTATGTCAAAAAGATGTTTGCCCTACAGTGTTTCATTGTAGTGTTATTCACAATGACCAAGATATGGAAACAACAGAAATGATTGTCAAAGGATGGATTTTTAAAAAATCTGGTGTGTATACACGATGGAATACTATTCAGCCTTTAAAAAGCAAGAAATTCTAAGAAAACATATATGAGGCCAACAAACATGAAAAAACACTCATCACTGGTCATTAGAGAAATGCAAATCAAAACCACATTGAGATACCATCTCATGCCAGTTAGAATGGCGATCATTAAAAAATCTGGAGACAACAGAGGCTGGAGAGGATGTGGAGAAAGAGGAACACTTTTACATTGTTGATGGGACTGTAAATTCGTGCAACCATTGTGGAAGATGATGTGGCAATTCCTCAAGGACCTAGAAACAGAAATACCATTTGACCCAGCAATCCCATTACTGGGTATATACCCAAAGAATTATAAATTGTTCTGTTATAAAGATACATGCCCACGTATGTTCATTGTGGCACTTTTTATAATAGCAAAGACTTGGAACCAACCCAAATGTCCATCAGTGATAGACTAGATAAAGAAAATGCGGCACATATATACCATGGAATATTACGCAGTCATAAAAATAACGATGAGTTCGTGTCCTTCATAGGGACATGGATGAATCTGGAAACCATTCTCAGCAAACCGACACAAGAACAGAAAACCAAACACTGCATGTTCTCACTCATAGGCAGATGTTGAACAATGAGAACATGTGGACACAGGGAGGGGAGCATCACACTGTGGTCAGTTGAGGGGCTAGAGGAGGGACAGTGGGGAGGTTGGGGAGGGATAACGGGAGAAATACCAGATTTTGGTGATGGGGGGATGAAGGTGGTAAACCACCTTGCCATGTATGTACCTATGCAACAATCCTGCAAGATCTGCATATGTACCCCAGAACCTAAAGTACAATTAAAAAGAAATTGTCAGTTATGGTAACATGGATGAACCTAGAGGACATTATGCTACGTCAAATAAGCCAGACATGACAAATGCTGTATTATTTATATGGGATCTAAAAACGTAGAACTCAGAAGTAGAGAATATAATGGTGAATATTGGAGGCTGTGGTTGGGAATGGGGTAGGTAGAAAGGAAAAGGGAAACTTTAATTAAGAGGAGTAAGTTCCAATGATATGTTGTATGGCATGGTGACTATAGTTAATACCTATTTCAAAAGAGCTGAAAGAGGGGTTTTGGCTTTTCTTTTTTTTTTTTTGAGACAGAGCTTTGCTCTGTCATCTGGGCTGGAGTGCTATGGCATGACCATAGATCACTTGTAGCCTTGAACTCCTGGGCTCAAGTGATCCTGTTGCTTCAACCTCCAGAATAGTTGGGACTACAGGCACACACCACTACACCTGGCTAATATTTTATTAATTTTTTTTTTTTTTTGTAGAGGCAAGATCTTACTATGTTGCCCAGGCTGGTCTTGAACTCCTGGCTTCAAGCAATCCTCCCACCTCTCCCTCCCAAAGTGCTAGGATTGCAGGTGTGAGCCACAGTGCCCAGCCAAAAGAGTGGGTCTTCTAATGTTCTCTCTGCAAAGAAATGATAAATATCAGAGGTGATGGATCTATTAATTAGCCTCATTGGATTACTCCAGTGTATACATGTAACGAAACATCACATTGTGTCCCATAAATTATGCAATTATCATTTATCAATTTAAAAAACTCAAAGACCAAAGTTAACCACTTGATCTTATAGTTGCATGAAATGAAATTGTGCTATCTGGTGCCACCACCAAAAGTCCAGGTGTTCACTTTGTGTCCACAACATCTAGCACAACACAATGGTCATGGTAGCTGCTTTATCCTTCTGGCTAATTTCTCTCTAGAACATTTGTTTCTCTTGAACTCTTCTTGCTCCTGATAGTGAGCTCTTTGCAGTTCTCAATATATACCATGTACTTGTCAGCTTTGGGCCTTCGCATATGCTTTTTCCTTTAGGACTCACTTTGGAGACTGCCCTCCACCCAACCGCACTGCATTATGAGGGGCCACTAATCACAGTTCTGGTGACCCTGTAGTTTGTTTCTGATCATTACCAACTGCCTGTGAGCTCTTTGCAGACCTGAATGGTCTCACTTGTACCCCCAGCACCTAGTTTGTTGCCCAGCACATAGCACAAGATAGTCCTACACTACATTTAATGAGTTCTACCTGTCCTCTCAACTAAGAACTAAGGTCTTTCTGAGCACGATTGCAAAGTAGGTAAAAAGTAGTAAAGATAGGAACTCTTAGGTGGAAAGTTGTTTACATTACTTCAGTTGCAAGTGAAGGACACCACATATTTTTGACTTTTCTGTTTGGCAGAAAGGTCTGGGCATTTCTAAAGGGAATATTTAAAAGTTGAAGTGTGGAGATAAAACTATAAAACCTTTAGAAGATACAGGAGTAAATCAACCCTGGAATATGCAGTGGTTTCTTAGATAGGACACCAAAAGTACAAGCAACAACAAGAAAAATAAACAGGTAAGTTGGACTTCATCAAAATTAAAGACTTGTGTGCTCTGTTCAAAGGACATCATAAAGAGAGTGAAAAAGCCCCTGAATGGGAGAAAACATTTGCAAATTAGATATAGTCTCCTACTTATCAACTTGAGATTTTTTAACATTACGATGGGTTTACCAGGACATAACCCTTCCTAAATTGAGAAGCATTTATATCTGTTAAGGGATCTATATCCAGAATTATAAAGAACTCTTAAAATTAAATAATAAAAAGACAAAAGATGGTCAGAATCTGAACACGGTTCTCCAACATAGCTAATGAACATATGAAAAGATACTTCATACCTACTAGGCTGACTCACAACCACAGTACAAGTGAAGATGTGAAGAAATTGGAACCATCACACATTGCTCCTAAGATTGTAAAACGGTGGAGTCACTTTGGAAGTTTGGCAGTTCCTCAAAACGTAAACAGAGTTACCATATGACCCAAAAATTCCACTCAGGCGTATGCCCAAGAGAACTGAAAACATGTCCACACGAAAACCTATATATGAATGTTCATGGCAGTAGTGCTTATAATATGCATAAAATGGAAATTTCAAAATAGCTAAAAGAATGTTGTTTGAATGTCCAGCAACTGTTGAATAAACAAAATGGGTTTTCCATATGTGGAATGGTAATATTCAGCCATAAAAGAATTACTGATACATGCTAGGACATGAATGACCCTTGAAAACATATTAATTGCAAGAAGCCAGACACCAAAGACCACATATGGCATGATAACATTTTTTGTTTTTGAGATGGAGTTTCACTCTTGTGGCCCAGGCTGGAGTGCAATGGCGTGATTTTGAGTCACTGCAATGTCCTGGGTTCAAGCAATTCTCCTGCCTTAGCTTCCCTAGTAGCTGGGATATAGGCACCTGTCACCAGGCCCAGCTAATTTTTTGTATTTTTAGTAGAGACAGGGTTTCACTATATTGACCAGGCTGGTCTTGAACTCCTGACCTCAGATGATCCATCCGCCTCAGCCTCCCAAAATGCTTGGATTACAGGAGTAAGCCACCATGCCCGGCTGTGTGATTCCATTTATATGGAATGTTCAGAATAGGAAAATACATAGAAATAGACAAGCGGTTGCCAGAGGAATAGGGAGAATGGGGAGCAACTCCTAATAAGTATGGGATTTCTTTTTAGGGTGATGAAAATATTCTGGGATTAGATAGTGAACATTGTTGTACAACTCTGTACACACCAAAACCAAAATTCTACACATTGAAAACAAGTCCTGTAAAGAGAAGCAGCAGAGGTGCAACATAGGCTCAGACTTTGAGCAGCTCTAATTTCATGGCTTTCCTGGGCCTCCACCGTATTGCCATAGGGCTTCCCACATGCTTCTGCGTCCTACTGGCTACAGCAGTGCTTCCTGAAGACAGCTCAACTTAGCCCTGGGCTGCTTTCCTAGTCATGGGCTGTGGAACCTGGAATATGTGACTAGAGTACCACTGTCCCTGTGGACCAGCAAGCCTAAGTTAAAGGCTGCTATCATGAGGAGGAAAAGGAGGCCCTCACCAGCCAGAAGGGGATGGATGGGGTAAGCAGAACCCTATTAGAAAAATAAGCCAACAGGAATGACTGGGAAAAGGGCAAGAGGGGACAAAAACTGATGTGCTTTGTTAGTGACACGAATAACTCTGGGATGACAGAGTTGATGACAATCTGGAGGCCAAAATCATCTTTGACATACCCTAGTTCTTAAGTGTACACTATTTCCCCCCTCACCACAGCCCTTTGGGCCTTTTACACAAGGGTAACTTCTAATTTGACCTTTGCTCAGATTTTAGAACTCGCCAGTAATGTTCCCAAGTGGATCATATCTAAGAGGAGCAGTACCAGTGAATTAACTGGGTCTCAAAATACAATTGCACATTTCAGACATTGCTTTAAAGTTGTGTTCTCTCATTTTCTCATTCCTGTTCAGTTATAATAGGCAGTCTTCCTCTTATTCACCAGGGGATTCCATCCCTCTTATTCAGGACTATGGTATATGCAATAGCCCTGCCTTCTCATCTTCAGCCTGTTGCTACAGAGGATCCATCCTCTTAGCACTTTTTTTCTTTTAGAAAAATATTTATTGCTGTGTAACACAGAGAAATACTCATAGCTCTGATCACAAATCTGAGTCAGATGTGTCTTGAAGAATGCACTTCTGAGGAGCCCTGTACTCACCCTAGCACAGCTCTCACACAGGAGTTTGCTGAGTCTCCAGAATGTGTGCCTCCCAGTTTGTGAGCTCTGTGAGGGCTGTAACCCCAGGGTATAAGTAACTCATCTAGAACATGAACAATACACTTCTCTCTGTCCTGACATTAAACTTACAATGAAATGTTTTCAAAATAAAAATAAATTTGTATATATTAGTTATTTGAAAAGAAAACCTCTATTTTTCTTTTAAAAATGTTATGATAGAAACAGCAAAATACTTGTTTTAATTAATTACAACTTGTATTTTCCATTTTGATGCTCAAGTTGTTACGTCTTGGTCAGTAGGAGCTCCTTTATATATACTGTCTCATTTTGTTTAATTTTCATTTAATTCATCAGTGTGTTGATACAGGTTTTTTTAAAAAAACTTTTAAAAGTCCTTTTAATTGTCACCCTTCTCTGAAGGGACGATGGCATGGATTCAGATACAATGCAAACTTGTAGAGTTCTTTGATACATTATTGTTCAAAGTAAACAGAACTGAAGATGCTACAATTTTGAGCTTATAACTAAATTTTGCTGGCTTTTATTGATAAGTTCAGATGGTATGCATGTCTAGTAAGATTTTTAAAAAAATCTGAACACATCTGCAAACAATTCAAGTGGTGTTTCCATTTTATCCTTTGGAAAACAAAAGTACACTGTGTGGAGGATTTTTAGAAGATGTAAAATAGTATTTTAATTTCATTAAGTAGCATACAAAGAAGTCTATGCATCTTTAATGTATTTAAAAAA